TTCTTCCGCTGCACGGATTTCCTGGGAAACGAAGTCATAGGCACGTAGGTTCAAAGCTAGACCGACTACTCCAAGAGCACTCATCCATAAACCAGTTACTGGTACAAATAACATAAAGAAATGTAACCAACGTTTATTGGAAAAAGCAACCCCAAAGATTTGTGACCAAAAGCGGTTAGCGGTGACCATTGAATAAGTTTCTTCGGCTTGAGTTGGGTTAAAAGCACGGAATGTATTTGCACCATCACCATCTTCAAATAAAGTATTTTCTACCGTAGCACCATGAATAGCGCATAGCAGAGCCGCGCCCAGTACACCGGCGACTCCCATCATATGAAATGGGTTCAATGTCCAATTATGAAACCCTTGGAAAAAGAGGATGAATCGAAATATAGCCGCTACACCAAAACTAGGCGCAAAGAACCAACCAGATTGACCTAGTGGATAAATTAGGAAGACAGAAACAAAAACAGCAATTGGACCAGAAAATGCGATTGCATTATAAGGTCGCAATTGAACAGATCGAGCAAGTTCAAATTGACGTAACATAAAACCGATTAATTTCAAGGACCAAACATGCACATGTATGCAAATGCAACCTAAAACTACTATGAATGCACAAGAAGGGAAAAGGAACAAGATATGATGCTAATGGATACTAAAATTATGCAAAAGGTGCATAAAAGATGTACTACTACCATGTAAAATGCAAGTACATCAATGCCATCAAGCTGAGACTCTTTCCTATGTCTCTGCTGACAAAGCTCACCAATGGGAGAAGAGCTTGCCCCATGGCACAATCACCACTTGGGATGAATGCAAGAAGGCCTTTCTTGCTAAATTTTTCTCCACCGGTCGCACAGCCAAGCTTAGGAGAGATATCCAAGTCTTGCACAGCCAAGCTAAGGAGTGAGATTGAGCTTCATACAGAGAACAATGAGACTTTTGCTGAGGCTTGGGAGAGGTTCAAGGGCTACACAAGTCAGTGCCCACATCATGGCTTCAACAATGAGTCTTTACTCTCTACTCTTTATAGAGGATGCTTGGCAAGGTATAGAGAGATGCTGGACACAGCCAGCAATGGAAACTTCCTAAATCAGGATGTGGATGATGGTTGCAGCTTGTGGAAACATTGCAAACTCCAATGGAAGTTATGGAGAAGAGTATGATCGCACCAACCGGAGCTCGACCCACCACTGATCGAGTCGACGAGAAATTGAGAAAGGAGGTCAAATCGTTGAATGAGAAGTTGGACAAGCTTATCTTAGCTCAGTCCACTATGAAGAAAGTCAATTTTGTGTCTGCTGAAGAGATGGAACCATGTCAAGAAGGGGAGGATACACAATTTGCTGAAGTATGTTACATGAGCAATGGGCAAGGAGGCTACAACAAAGGATATTACAATTACAAAGCCAACCCAGCCATGTCATAAGAAACACTGATGTTGCTAACCCTCAAGACCAGGTCTACCCTCAACAACAGCAAGCTCGATCGAGTCAAGCCCCACAACATGGGTATGGTCCAAAAAACAACTACCAAGGCCCTCAAGGGACTTTTCCTGGTCAGCAAATGCACATACCACCTGGCTTTCCCCACCAACCACCCCAGCCTGCACCTACACCTGAGCATGAGCTCAAGGCTATGTTGAAACAATTGCTCCAAGGTCAAGCTGATGGTGTTGTGGACACAAGCAAGAAGTTGGCTGAAATCAACTCCAAGATTGAGAATCTCAACACAAGAGTGTACTCTCTGGAGAATCATGCTTCTTCTGTTGCTGCTGCTACAAAGCAAGGACAACTACCTGGTAAAGCATTCAGAACCCCAAGGAACAGTGCAAGGTCATCTTCACTCAAGAAGGCTTGATGAAGAAGAGGATCAAGAGAGAGTCATGGAAGAGTTTTGTTTGCTGCTGAATGACGACGAGATTGTTGCTGCTGAGGCTCCTGGAGTCCAGATTGATCAACCTGAAGTGCAGCCACTACTGTAGCCTTTCACACTTCACCAGTTGAGCTCGCACAACAAGCTCGATCGGCAGCTCGATCGAGTCGAACTCTAGCTCGATCGAGTCAGACATCATCGTCCTCAAGCCGATTTTGCTTGATCCTTACCAGCCAGTTGATCCATCATCAGGCCGCCTACTCAGTCAAAGCCATAAGGAAGTGATTCACAAGTTCAGAAGAGACCTCAGTGAGATTGGAGTTGAGTTGCCTTCTATGGAAAGCATGAGTGAGGCATTTGAGCAAATGAAGTTGATTCAAGATGTTATGGCTAACAAGGAAAAGTTTCAGAGCTTCTGGAGATGTCTACTCACCAAATCAACCTGCTTACCTCACCTACTTTCTTACCAAAGGTGAAGGATCAAGGGAAATTCACTCTCCCTTGCACACTTGGGCATATTGAGCTTGACAATGCCTTGGTGGATTCTGGTGCAAGCATCAACCTCATCTCCTCACAATGGCAGAAAAGCTTGGCATTGCTGGAGCATTGCAGCGCCCTACTACCTCAATCATGTTTGGAGATGCAACTTCCAAGTCTCCTCTTGGTGTGTTCAAAACTATCACTTGAAAATAGGAGAATGCATCATCCAAACTGACCTCACTGTCATGGAGATGGAAGAAGAGAAAGATCTACCTCTGCTATTGGGAACCCCATTCCTTAGCACAGTTGGCGCTTCAATAGACTTTCACAAGCAAGAAGTGATTCTCACAAGGTGAATAGTTTGGTGTCTTATCGCTTGCAGCCTAGAGGATCAGAGTTTGTGCCATTGAAAGCACTCCTCTCAGTTCCAAGAGTCCTGAAGTTGCTAAGGTTGTGAAGGAAAAGGTTGAAAAAGAGCCAAGAGTTGTGAGAGATAAGGTTGAGAAGGACAAAGGAGTTGATAAAGGACCAAGGATTGAGAAACCACGCCTTGAGAGGCCTAGAGTTGAGAGACCACGATCTGATAGGCCACGAGCTGATAGACTTGTTCAAGCACCATGTGTCCTTGATGAGGAAAGCCTCCAAGCTTTGTTTGATGAGCCACTAGGAAGCGCTCAAAAAGAAGGGGAGGATGCAGCCTCAAAGGCACTTGTGGGAGAGAAAAGAAAGACCCACCAGCTCAGGTTTCCTCAGCCAAGCCATCTCAGCTCACTATGACCTTGTTTCCCACCAATTTGAAAATGGAAAGATTGAGTACAAGATAAGGTACAAAGGGAGATCAAGACCATTCTCTAGAGCCAAGGCCTTGGTCACTTCAGAGCAGTCCAGGGATCCAACCAAGCTAAAGGAGCTCCTATCCCAAGTCCTCACTATCACCCTTGATGGTGGGACTAGCTCAACCAATGCCTAAGAGGTAAAGGTCAAGCTATGGGACCTTAAACAAGCTCACTTGGGAGGAAGTCCCATGACTATCCTTGTACATATTCTTTATTGCAATTTCTATCTAGTTTTTGTGTCTTAACCTTTCAGAAGATTAAGTTTAGGTGACAAGAAGCCAGCTCGACCGACAGCTCGATCGAGCCAGAAACAAAGGTAACTCGATCGAGTTCCACAACTCGACCAAGGTAAATTTTTGAATTTCAAATTTCTAACCGTTTCCTTGGTCAAGGGGGTGGGTCCCACATATAAATTTTGGTCCCCCACTTCCTAAATCGATCAGAAAAACCCTAGCTTTTGTCCCCTCTTTAAACCATCTTTTAATCCTCACCACACATCTCAAACACTCCCTCTTCCCCATAACTCGATCGCACAACCCCTCTCTCTCTCCCTAATCTCTAAGAAAATCCGAAAATCCCTCTTCATCCTTGAGTTTTTGCGATTCTTCCTTGTTTATCTCTTGAATTGCTTTAGTTTCTAGCTTTTGTCTAGAGCATCCATCATCCAAGCAAGGTTTGACCCTAAACCCTCAAGGCTAAAGCTTTGATTCTTCTCTATCTCTTATTGCATGTTGTCTCTTGATTTTTGATTGCATGTGTCCTTTGTGGACAGGTTCTTGATTAATTGCCTTCATATTCATCTTCTGCTTATAGAATTTTGTGAACTTGTCTCACCTCACCTCTGTTTTGCCATTAAAATTGTTGCATGTGCTTGAAACCTTTGAATTTGAGTTTGGTATTGGTTAGGATGCTATATTCTTCACTAGAATTGCTTATTGTTCCAAGTTCTTGATGTTCTTAGTTCAATTTGATTGTTTAGCATCCTATCCTGCTCTTAATACTTGATTTAGATTCGGTTTACTCTGTTTTCACCTAGCTCGATCGAGTTTGTCACTCGAGTTTTTTGACTCGATCGAGTTGGGTGTCGAGTTGACCGAATCGATCATTACAACTCTAATTCTTTGGATTTTTGATGAATTTCAGGGAACTCACTTTAAGAAATAACAAGTTTAAGATGTTGAGAGGTGAAGGAAGCATCGCAAGAAGGAGGAGTAACAAGAGGTGCAAGGAGAATGCTAAAGGAATGAGCAAGGAGGATGTGGAAGAGATTGAGAGGTTAAGGGAGGAAAGAAGGACCAAGAGAAGGAATGATCCCATCAGCAGTGAGAGCGAATTGGGAGAATTCGAGATTGGGGTGAATGTTGCAAGAAGAGGAAGAGTGATGCTCTCAAAGTGAAGAGGGTGAAGAAGTTAATCAAGAGGTTGATGGGAGTGAGCATGAGAGCAATGAAAATGGCCAATGGAGGAAGCTGAGCCACATGAAGAGGGAGGATGAACTCCCCATGTTCCAAGAGCACTACAATGCTCTCCTCTCCATGGAATTTGTTGAAACCAAGTACCCTCATGACAAAACTATGAAGGCCCTTGGAATCTTTAATGATGTGGATTTGGTACTCAAGAACATGCACTTGGGGAGGTTCTTTTCTCATCGCATGGAATCATACAAGGAGACTCGATGAGGTACTACATGTATGGTGAGAGGATAGCTGATTTGGATCAAGGATTGGGGTGGATACTTCTTGGCTAATGGAGAAGAGGATGGTACCTTCAGGCAGTTGGAGATCTTTTTGGCTTCAACTATGGAGAAGGAACCAATGGGAACAAGGAAAGTGAGCTCCAAAGAGTTTGGGCTACAATCTGAGGGAGTACTCTTCCTCAAGGTCCAAGGCTGCTCAGATCAGGAGTCCAGTGCTTGAGTATGTGCACAAGGCACTTGCCAACACCTTCTTTGCAAGGAAGACCTGGACAATCAATGAGGGAGAGTCAAGCTCCTTGACATGGGAATCAAGCCCTTCATCTCACGCACAAGGATGGAAGAGGATCAGGGGAGACAGCACACAGGGAATCTCATGCCTTCCTTGAGCAGCTCTCACCTACAAGATCACAGCCTTACAACACTATCACCAAAGAGGAAGAAAGCTTAGTGTTGGAGGGTCATCACACCTATCTTTGTGCAGCTGGAGTGGACAAGAGAAGGCTACTCCACCAGGTTGGATGGACATCAAGTTTTGCAAGACCAACCTCCTCATTGAGCACAAGGAGTTGGATGGGAGATTCCAATTCAAATTCACACATCCATTGGCTGGCCCTTCCAAGCTTCTCTGCCCAACCCTGAGCTCACCACAGTCCTAGAGGACAACATTGACTTCAGACCCCCTGTGTACACTTAGTTGGGCATGAGGATGATTTGCGAGAAGAGGAGCCTGAACTCGATCGAGCTGAGGATCAAGCCAAGTGGATGAAGATTTGGGTGAGCCTGAGTGCTACTACTTTGAGGAGTATGAGGCTCCAAGGATGAACCCCTCTGTTGTGGCTGCTCACAAGAGGATTGGACTTCTCCAAAAGTTCAACAAGTGGCAAGGGAAAGCCATGAGAAGATGCAAAAGTCCATGGACAAGATGGTGAGCAAGATCAAGAGTTTGGAGAAGAAGGTTCTGGTTCTTCAAGCAAGAAGAAGAAACACCCATGGCTCCCACTTTCCCTAGGAGTAGATCACTCCTCACCACACCAAGGAGGCTCCCTGCCCAAGAGCCTCACAGAGCCTCTTCTTTGAGCCAAGGAAGAAGGACAACACACAGAGAAGGAGGAAGAGTTCCAAGGCCAGACGCTCCAACTCGACCACCGGACTCGATCGAGTCCAAACAGAGGAAACTCAACTCGATCGAGCTGAGGTCGAGTTGACCTGGAGGAGCCCCAGTTTCGAGAACCCTGGATTCGAGTACGATCCAGCACCTTACCAGGACTTCCCCAGAGCAGATGGAACCCATACAACCAGTTCGAGCGAGCCAGCTCCACCAAGGCCAAGGAAGCCACACCCACTTCGAGATGAAGAAGAGGAGCCGCAAGCTCGATCGAGTGCATGAAGTCGAGTGGAGTGCTCCTGATGGCCGTCTCCCTCTCCAGACCACGACCTTGCCTCCCAGTTCTTTGGGGGGCACTGAGGTATCCAAACACCAACCCTTGTATATACCATTTCATATTTTCTTGCATTTTTTTTTTTTCTTGGTTTTGCCCTCTTGAATCTTTCACTGAATTTCTCTCACACAAGGGACTGTGTGATTTAAGTTTGGGGGAGGGTTCAAGAGATGATTTAACCTTGTTTTCTTTGTTCTTAGTTTTTCATTCATCTTTTGCATAGAAAAACCAAAAAAATCATAAAATTTTCAAAAAATCCAAAAATATTTTCATCTTTTTGCATTCATATTTGTTAGACTTGTTTAGGATTGCATCATTTTTCACTTGCATTGTTGATTTGACTTTGAAAACTTGTTCATCATTTGCGATTTCTTGAGTGCCCTGTTTTTAGATTCTTTTGTGCATTAGGGTGAGATTGATTGAGCAGCAAGAACCATGTTTATCTTGATCATATCACTGCATGCACATCTCATTCAACCATTGCTGTGATTTGATGCATTTCCCTATCTATTTGAACCATAACTTGATCTTTAATTACCAATGCTTGCATTTGATTTCAACTCATGGCTACCACATACATATCTGGACATTCTTTACCTATTTCATATCCCTCTTGCTTGTCCAGATAGCTGATCTCCATCTTTGAGACAGTTACCACACCTTAAACCTAAGCCTTTTTCATTTCAAACCCCATATTATCTCTTGTGCGAATTGTGAGAACCTTTCTTGGCTTTGCTTAGCATAAGGTGTTGTGTTTAAACCGGCAGGGCAGTAGTTCTAGTTGTCTAGTTCTCTTGGGATTGTTTTCAGGCTAAGTTTGGGGGTGCCAACTCGAGCTCGATCGAGTTGGGTGTCAAAAACCAGAAAAGTGGTAAAAGTTGGGAAAAATCCAAAGGAAAAAGAGTTTAGTTAAGTCCAGGGAGTTGGCAGTGTTTAAAAAGGGTCTAGTAAAGGTTTGGGAAGTAGAAAATGAAGTAAGAAGGCAAAGCCTCAAGTGTCAAAAAGAAAGAAAAGTTCCCTAAGTGTTTAGAAAATCCCAAACCGCTAGATGTTACCTCAAGAAGCCTCTCCCTAGGAAGTTCTTAAAAGAAAAGTGAGCAAAGCTCCTCAGTTTCAAAGGCGAAATGCCAAAAAGGGTAGTTAGGATTTTGTTCTAAAAAGCTCTAAGTGTTGAACTCGATCGAGTTAGGATTAGGGGCTCGAGCTGCTGTTCTTGCATCATCTTTGGTTCTAACACTTAGCCTTCTGCCAAAGCAAAGCCACTTTCTTGAGAGATCCCTGTTACTAAACCACCATACAAAAGAGACCCTCTTTGTCTCTTCTCTTACCCATGTTCCTAAGAGGAGATTAACTTCGTCTTGAGGTGATTTCTGCCAAAAAAACGAAAGAATTTGTGACACCCGTCACCAGGGACTCCCGAGAAACGACGGCGTATCAAGACATACGTTACAAGCTTAACCAGCTTTAACCGCGATGCCATAACCATGGTCACAAATCCAAGATGTTCTCTTAACAAAATCCACCAACTTATACTTGAATCAACACTTTTGTACCTACCTGCAAGAAAAAGGGAACGGAAAAGGGAAAACGGAGGGGGATGAGTAAATTAGATTACCCAGGAGAATGAATCTAAACCGGGCCCAACATACGAAACGCTATAAAACAAACACCCAGGCTTAGGCTAAAACAGCATCAAACAAGACGTCATCTATACAACGCCGAACTAGCACACATGCTGCATTACACAACTCATACCATGCGGTTCCACATATACAGTGTGCACATAATTCATATGGTGCATCACCACACATACAATATATGTCACGACACATACATGAATCACCACACGTAAGGTGTGTATCAACACACGCAGTGTATAATACATTATACGATATAGCTTCACAAGGACGGTGTATAACACGGCACAAATAGTGAATCACCACACGTCCGCCGTGTATACAACACAAACCATGAGTCACCTCTCATACAGTATGTAACACCACACACGTTGTATAACACAACAACCTCCTAGAGGGACTATACACTCAACACGTAATATGGTCTGTAACGGTGATGTTTCTTGTCCAGCCAAGCTCAACCACGTGTGAAGCTACCAAATACCGGCACAACACCCCGTAGTATCTTGCTCCAGTAACTCAACACCCTGGATGTATCCGCGCATCACTGCGCACATCCCCCGTGGTACAAAGCGCCACATCGCTGTCCGCCTCTCTTTCAAGACGCCTCTCTTTCAAGACGCCTGGCTCGTCAAGCCACCGACGATGGATTGGGTAAGAGCAACCTTTATCTACCCCACATCCAGCAAACACCAACACCAAGCAAGAGGATCCACTATGGTGCGCCACACGCCTTCCCAATCCCTCCATCTTACTTGTGCACGGTACCTTTAAACCGCCACTAACTAACACGCTTCTCACTAAGCGTCCAACATATATAACTTTATATATAAATACTTTTATATATATACATATACATTAACCATCACACACCACACTCAACAATGATCCTTTTAACACTCAACCGTTTTAAATACCATGTCCGATCATTAATTAATCCATATTCGATATATGTTGTTCAACACTCAACAATCAAGAGACTGATGTACTTCGGTGAAGATTCGATTGCTTGCTGCGCAAGAGACTGATGTGCACTCTCAATCCTCACGGGCGTGAGCTTACGGCGGTTGATCGGAAGCTCCGACGGTGATGGATGTGACCTCCGGTGATGCTCGGACCGATGGTGATGATTAATGGTGGCCGGCGGTACTGGTCTAGATCTCCGATGACGTCTCCGACTTTCCATGGTACGTGCTCTCTCTCTCTCGCTCTCCCTCATTCTCTTTCTTCTCCTCTCTCTTTCTTCTCTTCTTCTTCTTCCTTTCTCCCTGGTTTCTCTCGCATCTCCTTTTCCTTCTTTTCTCATTTCCTCTCTCTTCTTCTCTGGATTTCTTACGGCCACTCTCTCTCTCTCTTTCTTACTCTTGCGGCTAGGGCAAAATGAAGGGGAAGAGGCTCACGATGACACCATACACTTGGGCTCATGGGCTTTCATGCCAAAAATTAAAAATGGCCCAATTTATAAAAACCGGGATGTCACAGAATTCTTTACAACCGTATGTAAAGAGAGATTGTGAATATTTGAAGACAATATACTATCTCTGTTGATCGAAACAAATCATATTTATAGTTTTTTCTGGTTTTGAATGGACCCTATCTACCAAACAGAAACGACTATAAATGAGAAGGATACTGTAATTACCTGTCTACTAGGACTTCCTCTACTAACTGCCCAATTGTTCTCTTTATCGGACATTTTTAGATGAAGCAAAAAGTACAGTACGTGTGAAAAAGAAATAGTATGGTACTTATAAAGAAAGAGATGGTAGTCGTGGAAAACAAGGGGTCCTTTTGCAGGTGGGAAACGTGGCCAAATTATATACACATAAAGAAAGAGGAGGGAACTCTAATTTTGAATTTTATTTTAATTGTATAGGTTAGGATATTGATTGGACAAGTTTTACTCGGCTGGCAGTACATTTGTTATCGACTTCCCTTAAAAACTACCGACTAAAGTATAATGGCAAAAGAGTATTTTTTCTGGCGCGTGTAAATCAGTCTCCAATTTTCGTTCTGATATGAATAGTTTCTTTATTACTAAACCCAATATGGCTACTTGGCCAATTCACCCATTATTTTAATTATCAAAAAATATTATTTAATTATGAGAATTATTTAATAATTGAGAAATGGAGTTTTAATAATAATTAAGTTTTATAATAATTATTGTATTTGCTAGTAATTGCGTAATTGGCCCGTAGGTGATTGCCTCACTAAGTTATTAAATATTTATGCAGCTCTTTCGCAATCTGATGCAGGTAAAAGATTTGTGTGATCGCGGAATCGAGGCTGAAGAGGGGATGATAGGACTTTTTATGTGTTTTACATTGTTTTACTTGAACATGTTTAAGTTGCTAGACTTGTTTTATGTTACTTTCTTCCACAGGATTGATGTTATCTGATATTTATTTATTTAAATTATTTTAAAGACTAGTTGTTCAAAAAAAAAAAAAATTATTTTCAAGACTTTCCGCTAGAATTGTTTAGGATTTATTTAATAAAAAAAAAGTTTGATGTTTCATTTTGGTATCAGAGCCTAGGAATGTTAAGTTGATAGTTTAGTATCATCCCCTTCGGCTACATGATATTCCGCGGTGAGTTTATGTTTGTGTTTGAGTTTTGTTGTGTGGTCTAGTGTGCTCATTTTGGTTCCATGCAGTGAGATGGACGAGTAATCCAGGTTTGTTGCTTATGCTTACTCTAAAGAAGCTAAACTAAGGCAGAAGGGGTTACTCAATCAAAGTAAGCTGGTCTCTGAGGGTTTGTATGTTGAGTCAAGAGGAAGATCAGACAAGAAGGGAGGAAGTCCTAAGAACAAGGGCAGATCGAAGTTAAAACAAAGGTTTGATAAGAACAATACGGGTTGTTTTATTTGTGAATCAGAAAATCAATGGAAAAGAGAATGTCTAGAAAGAAAGAAGCCTCCTCATTCTGCAAATATTGCAGTGGAACCTAAGCAACCGTTAGTGTTAACTGTTTACACTCAAGACTCAATGAAGAAATGGGTTATGGACTCAGGTTGTTCATATCACAGTACACCAGACAAAGAGGTCTTGTTTGACTTCAAGTAGATCGATGGTGGTAGAGTTTTGATGGCTAATAAAACTTATGGAGACATCAGAGGAATTGGGAAAATCAAAATTCAGAATCCAGATGGTTCTGAGGTGATACTCAGGGATGTTAGAGAGATCAGGTTGCAGGTATGAAGGAGGTAACTTCAAGGTTCAGTTCTACAAAGGAAGGAAGAAGGCAATCTCAGGAAAATACATGGACGGGTTGTATTATCTTCAAGGTACGGTTGCTTAGAATGAAGAGAACAATTCTGGAGTTGAGAAAGAAACCAGACAGGAAAAGTCAAAGCATGTGACTTTTGGTCAGAATCTGGTTCAGGAAGCAACTCCTAATGGTTTTGAGAAAGATGATTCATCAGCTCAAGGTGGAGATTCTAAGGAAATTGAATCTAAAGAGAGCAATGAAGAATATGGGATAAAAGAGCTTCAGGTGGAGGGCCTGGAAAAAGTTTATGATATTTGGAACGGGGATCTTCAGAGATAGAGCTAAGGAAGAAGAAACTCTATCTAAGATTCATTCCGATAAAGAGAAAATAGATTTTCCAAGTAAAGCAGTACATGGACAGAAGCTTCAGGTTTGCTGCGAGTTTCCAAGCTTAAACTGAAGCAGGATTCAGCTATAGGTAACTCCACTATCGACATCACACTCTCGCATGAAGAAGAAGAAGGAAGAAGAACATGGTGATATCACCATATTTTACATGATTTTACTATATAATTTACCTATGTTTTCAAACGGTTTTTGCAAGATTCTTTGCCTTTAGAGGTAGTTTTCTTGTATTTGTGGGATTTGAAGTCTTTGTAGGTGAAAATCAAAAAGGATGCAAAAAGGAGTAAAAGAGCCCTAAATCAAGATCCATGCAAGTTTCCAAGTCAAGAAGATCATTTTATCTCCAAGTGTTAGTTCTCGCTAGCGCGCAGAACGAAGCTTCGGAAGTTTGGCCGCGCGCGGAGGAGTTCCCGACGTCCAAAAGTTACGATCTTGATATGGAAAGATAGATACTTGAGTCATGCATCACGTCGAAGTGGAATGAAGCCATTTGGATCAACTATGAGGCCTAGACTTATTTTCTACCGAGACATGTCCGGTAAGCGAGTAAACGAAGCCCATGGAGGATTTGGAGTGTCTAATGGCCCGAGCAGCAGCGCCAAAGGCCTTGATCGAATAGAGAAGAGGCCTGGCTAATGTTTGGAGCTTTCCTTGGTACAATGTCGGCCCATACACGACGTGGAGAAGAAGGCTTTGCTCACGGGAAACTTTCCTTTTCCGGCATGAAGAAAACCCTACGCGACTTCGCCCATATATACATGTTTTTAGCCGCTGGAGAAAGAGTCAGAAAATTATCAAAGAGTGTACGTGTGAGAAGAGAGTTCAGAGGAGAGAAGCCCTAGGAGATCGTCCAAGAAGAAGGAGGCGCCGCTCAACTCTTGTTCTTTCTTTTTCATTGTTTCCATTTCTATAAACTTGATCTTAAGAGTTTTCAAGGGAGAATCCGACTTTGTTCATCAATAGAGAAGCTTTCTTCATCCCTTTATCTCTTTTAATACTTGCATAATGTTTACAATCATGCTTTGCTTGCTTGTTTGCATCATGGCCGAGTAGATCTCTTAGTTAGGCCGAGGAGATCTATGGTGGCCGTGATGATTTGATTGTGTTGCAACTTATTGGGATTTATCTTATGGATCTTCACCTTTACTTGAACTTAATGCATGATTAAAATCAAACTTTGGTCGGCAAATCCAAAAGATAGGACGGAGAAATCATCACGGATCATGAGATAGACGACGGAGCTCATTCTGGCCGATGGCGCGCAAGCAATATGGCCGACAAACCAAATCACGGCATAGGCGCGCCAACCGGTTGGAAAACTCTTCCTTGAGCTTAACTAACACTTTTATGCAGGAAGAAACGAAAAGGAACGAGCCAAACTTCACATGGCCAAGGAAACTCCTTCCCGGAGCCGACTTGACCATTTTGTGAAGGAAGTCTCAATCCCCTCGTTCAAATGCTCCCAAACTTCACCAGAGGCCATAAAATACCAGGTTGGTCGATGAAATTTCAATATAGGTCATGAAATTTTGACGGTTTGTTCTGTAGTTCACAGCACCACATTTTGGCCGACCGAATATACCAATCTCGGCCAAAACACAAACCGGCGGAAACCAAGGCCTGAAATTAAAAACTCACCGACCAATATTGCCTAAAGAAGTGTAGAATGACCCAAACCGGAACTGATCTTCATTATAAATTGGTCGACATTTGGTAACATCATCCTAAACCTTTTTCTTTTCAATTTTTCATTTGAACTTCATGTTATGCCTCTCTTAATCCGATTTGATTTCACCGGGACGGTGCAAGTTAAGTCTGGGGGGATTACTAACAATGTTTGTTCATTTTGGCGTTTTCATTTGCATTTTTCCCTTTTATCGAGTCGTTTTTATTGAGTCAAAATTTTTGTCGAGAATCATGACCTTATCTTGGATCTAACCATGGTTGTACTAATGTTTAAGTGACCATTGAGCAGTTCTTGGCAATACATCTTACCACAGGTGCACTATGAGTTGATCGATCTACCAAAAACGCCTACATCTCTAAAGACTTGAGAAGGATCCATCTTTGACTCCGCCCTTAATGAACTTAATCTTCTCAGCTAGGGGCTTGGCATACAAATGGCATGATTCCTCATCCTCTCCATCAAATGAAAAAGTCTTAGTGAGTTCGTGCTTCCCTCTCTCTCCCCTTCAAATTTAAAGAAAAAGCGTAAGGTCCAAGTAACCGGGGATTCGGTGGCAAACACCATCAATACTCGCGTCTGTGGAAGATCCAAGCAAAACCTCTATAATAAAGAGAAGGAGTTGAATAAAAAAATACTTCGCTACCCTAAAAAAGGGATGAATCAACTCAAAGAAGTGAGAAGAGAGAGAGGAGAAACATGGAGTAAAAAGACAAGTGCCAAACAAGGGGATGAGTAAGAATCTAAAGCCGGCTGATCGATACTCCCTAGTTGAGACCACACCTTTAGAAATGAAAGGAGTCAAGGGTGGCGAATTGGATTGTCCAAGGAGAGGTGGACCGCTTTGGGAAAATCGCAAAACTCATGGTATGTACTTTGTTCTTAATTCAAAACTTGCCAATGCTGTTTCATGTGGATTACTAAAGCATAAGTCAATTTGGATTTCCAAAAGATTTGAGAGTTCTCACGTTTTCAAACCTCTTTTCCTGCTTAGTTTGCTTGGGGACAAGCAAAAGGCTAAGTCTGGGGGAGTTGATATCACCATATTTTACATGATTTTACTATATATTACCTATGTTTTCAAACGGTTTTTGCAAGATTCTTTGCCTTTAGAGGTAGTTTTCTTGTATTTGTGGGATTTGAAGTCTTTGTAGGTGAAAATCAAAAAGGATGCAAAAAGGAGTAAAAGAGCCCTAAATCAAGATCCATGCAAGTTTCCAAGTCAAGAAGATCATTTTATCTCCAAGTGTTAGTTCTCGCTAGCGCGCAGAACGAAGCTTCGGAAGTTTGGCCGCGCGCGGAGGAGTTCCCGACGTCCAAAAGTTACGATCTTGATATGGAAAGATAGATACTTGAGTCATGCATCACGTCGAAGTGGAATGAAGCCATTTGGATCAACTATGAGGCCTAGACTTATTTTCTACCGAGACATGTCCGGTAAGCGAGTAAACGAAGCCCATGGAGGATTTGGAGTGTCTAATGGCCCGAGCAGCAGCGCCAAAGGCCTTGATCGAATAGAGAAGAGGCCTGGCTAATGTTTGGAGCTTTCCTTGGTACAATGTCGGCCCATACACGACGTGGAGAAGAAGGCTTTGCTCACGGGAAACTTTCCTTTTCCGGCATGAAGAAAACCCTACGCGACTTCGCCCATATATACATGTTTTTAGCCGCTGAAGAAAGAGTCAGAAAATTATCAAAGAGTGTACGTGTGAGAAGAGAGAGAGGAGAGAAGCCCTAGGAGATCGTCCAAGAAGAAGGAGGCGCCGCTCAACTCTTGTTCTTTCTTTTTCATTGTTTCCATTTCTATAAACTTGATCTTAAGAGTTTTCAAGGGAGAATCCGACTTTGTTCATCAATAGAGAAGCTTTCTTCATCCCTTTATCTCTTTTAATACTTGCATAATGTTTACAATCATGCTTTGCTTGCTTGTTTGCATCATGGCCGAGTAGATCTCTTAGTTAGGCCGAGGAGATCTATGGTGGCCGTGATGATTTGATTGTGTTGCAACTTATTGGGATTTATCTTATGGATCTTCACCTTTACTTGAGCTTAATGCATGATTACTCTACCGTACATCTAGTAATCTGATCTTAGAGAAATAGAACCACGACAGTGCTGAATCTAGATCTCAAAACTAGTATTTGGTGAGCAATAGATCATAGCCAACGAAAGCTGAGTTATGGTTTATTGTGAACAATTGAATCTTGATCACCTTTAATGCATGTTTGCAATTCTAATAGCCAACGAAAGCTGAGTATATTAGGTTGTTTTAAACATAGTGGTTGGAGCCACGACAGTGGAAAGACCATACACTAGTGATTCATGTTCAAGACGGCTCTACACACATCCCATGCAACTATCTTTTCATCATTGCTCCATATGATTGTCCTTTGCCTAACTCTTGTTTTAAATTGTTTACAACCTCACTCACATTCTTTTGTTTTTTCTCATTCTAGGTCCAAAACCACCTCATATTGCGAGCTAGCTACAAACCAATCTCACAAGGTGTTAAGCGAGAACACTTCCTCCTCGTGTTCGACCCCGACTACAACACGGCTGTGCACTTGCAGCTCATTAGTTGGGTTTATAAATTGTGAAAATTTGAGGCAATCTAAACCCGCCATCACATGGCAACAGGTCAGTTTTTGAAGATGTTCTTATATCGATAGAGAAAAACAAGGTTCGTTAATGGGTTTAAGGAGTTACCTGTTGGAATCAGTTGTCTTGGTGAAGAGACATTAATTCCAGGTAGAGCTGTTGGAGGAAAGATTCAAGAGAAAACAAGTTAGTTGTGAGAAGAGTTCTTGAATCTCAGGAAATAAGGCGAGAGGTTTAACGGCAGAGGTAAAGGAGTTACCTAAAGTTACCTAGAGAGAAGAGTTATTGTTCATCAAAGGCAGCTGAAAGGAAAAGGATATCAACGAGTACTAAAAAAAAAGGCGATATCAAAGGGATCAGCAAATAGTGATGAATAAATAACAAGAATAAAGTACCTGTTCTAATATGAAGTTGAAGAAAGTGTTATTGGCTTCAGGTGGAGCTACTGTGAAAAGGAATGTGGAATTTCACAAAGTATCTAAGAAATTGGAAGAGACAAGGCGAGAAGATGACTCAAGTTAAAGAAGGTTACTTGAAGTCATTAGAGAGTCTTAGAGAGGCAAAGCAGATCGGTTGAATAACTGAAAGAAGAAGTCTTAAAATTCAAGAAGGGATTTCACAAGATTGCTGAAATTCAGAACAAAGAGACGAAAAACAAGAGATGATACAGGTTAAGAGGGTTTACCTATATTGTCAGGGGAAAGTGGACGAGCATAAATCGCTCACCAGAGAAGCTGCAAATCAAAAGGAAGAACATGAGTCGATGGTTGAAGGAGAGAAGAAAATGATTGAGCCAAAAAATGAAAAACAGAATTGGGCCCAAGGTGGAGATTGTGAGATAATGGGTCCAATTCAAGTTAAGTTCAAGCCTAATCCAAACTAAGTCAATCATGTGATGTTTTCCTTTTACATGTTAGTTGGTTTTCTACAAAGAAAAAGGAAACAAGGGATTAGGCAATTTCCCAATAAACATAAAAGGAAAATAGAGAGACATCTTAGCTATATAAGGAGGCCTCTCCTCTCATTCAGAATCCATCCCAAGCATCAAAGAGCAAGAGAAACAATAGAGAGAGAGAGAATAATCTATACTATATAAAAGTTGAGGATATAAGTCTTTAAAAACGTCCACATATGATTATAAAACACGATTCTATTGGTCCACATAAGCATCTTCAAGATTAAGAAAGTTTCCAAATTTTAAACTACCAATAATGTCATTCCATATAGTCATATAAAATTAAGAAATTTTCCAAATTTTAAAGAACTAATAGTATTAATCTATATCATCATATAAAATTAACTATATTTGTTAAATTAGTTAATTTCTTTCTTAAATTTCAGAATATTAATTAATATAATATGTTTAAATTAGAAACTCCCAATGATTAAATTAATATTTTTTTAATATATGTTTTTAATATAAAATTTGAGGCTAAATACATTTAAGAGTGCCCACATAAGATTATAAACCCACATCTTATTGGTCCACATAAACATTTACATAATTAATTTTTGTTCCCAATTTTAAACAACCAATATTATTAATCTATATCATCATCTCATTTTTTTCAAATTTTAAACAGCCAATAATACTAATCTATATCGTCATCTAAAATTAGCTATATTTTTAAAATTAGTTAACTTCTTCTATGTTTCAAGAAAATTAATTAATAGAACCGGTATAAATAGAAACTCCACAAGTTCAACATAATTAAATTAAGATTTTTTAAAATTGTTGTTAAAAAAACCTAATTTACTAAAAAAGTTTAAAACTATATAAAAAATATTTGTATAACTAAAATATTAGTTATAAATAATTAAATAAACCTTAAGGTGAACTATCTTTCACCAAACTTAAATTTTTACAAATAAAGAGTAGGTTACACCATAATAACTGAAGAATTGTTCTAGCAAACAATGCTAACATTGCAAAAGAGTCTATCTCAACATTACATAATCTATGAATAAAAAAATGGAGATAGCACCATAATCGGGACGAGGAAGGATACTGGAAACAGAAGAGTAGGAATATGTGGCTAAAAGATGGAGATCTAAATACAAAATATTTCCATGCATCCACAAAGCAGCGGAGAGCGGTTAATCGGATAGTGGGGCTCCATAATGAAGGGAACGTCTGGGTTGCGGGTGAAAAGGAGGTTCAGAAGGTAGGAGTTGATTATTTTCAAAAACTCTTCACATCTACATTACCGGTGGATTTTACGAGGGTTCTGGAAAATGTATCAGGATGCATTACTCCAACAGAAAACGAGATTTTAACTCGTGGTGCTACAGAGATGGAGGTGAGGGAGGCATTATTTATGATGCACCCAGAAAAGGCACCGGGGCCAGATGGGATGACAGCCTTATTTTTCCAACGTTCATGGCATATAGTGAAAGAGGATATTCTAGCTATGGTAAACAACTTTCTATCAACCGGGGTTTTGGATGACAGACTGAATATGACTAATATCTGTCTCATTCCAAAGACGGACTGACCTACTCGGATTACAGAATTAAGACCAATAAGTCTGTGTAATGTTGGCTATAAGATTATTTCAAAGGTCCTATGTCAGAGGCTCAAAGGGCTGTTGCCAAGATTGATTTCTGAAACACAGTCGGCTTTTGTGCCGGGCCGACTGATTTCGGATAATATTTTGATAGCACAAGAAATGTTCCATGGATTAAGGACAAACAAGGCTTGTCGAGGGAAATTCATGGCAGTGAAGACAGACATGAGTAAAGCCTATGACAGAGTAGAATGGCCCTTTATTGAGGCGCTAATGCGGAAGATGGGGTTTGCGGAAGCATGGATCACTTGGATGATGAGTTGTATAAAATCAGTCAAGTATAGGGTGTTAATTAACGGTCAACCACGGGGGCAAATTATACCTGATATACCTCTATTTTACATGCTTTTTATACTGTTTTAGTATTGTTTTCTAATGGTTTTTGGCAGGTTTTCTATCTAAAAAGGTAGTTTTACTGTGTTTATAGTGTCTAGAGTCTAAACAGGTGAAATGATGCATTTTGGAGCAAAACCATAGGATTTGCACTTCAAGCCGCTCCATGCACAAGCATCAACTTTAAGAGGGCCCAGAAAAAGATCTACTCAATGGATTTCATCAAGACCAGTTCCCTGCGTGCTCTGATTGAGTTAACTTTCCAACGCAACTGGAACGGCCTCATTTGGATGAGTAGAAAAGGAGTTATAACCAAAAGAGTGAAGACTGGTCCAGACGGCTCTATCGAGAACCAGCGCCAACCGCGCAGCCTGGCCGAGAAACGAATGTTTCCGCGTCGGCCAAATCAATCCGTCCGTCTGAAGTCTCGGCCAAAGTTCGACCATCCGGCCGATCACGCATCACGACCCGGGAAAGCAATGTCCCGCGGTCGGCCAAGCCACGACCACTCAAGGCCATGCCGCGCACGACCACCCCACGCGATCCGGGAAGCCACGTCCCGCGTCCGGCCGAGAAAGCATCGGCCAATCTTCATCCGTCCGACCACAGCGGCCGACCACGAATCCGTCCGGCCACGACCGTTCCGACGCCATGACCCGATTGTCCGGCCGATCGTCCCGACCGACCGTCCAACGCCGCGGTCGACCCGAAGCCCGTTTCACTATTTTCAAGCCCGGCTTAACCCTAAGCCGCCTCTGAAAGACCTAGCACTATATATATAGCTTTTTAGCCTCTTGTGAAAAGAGAGCCGCCCTTGTATTTCGATTTCCTACTCTAAGTTTTATTGCAATCATGTTTTCTTCATCTCTATGTGTGTTTGCTTTGATCATGTCTGAGTAATCCACTAGTTAGGTTGCTAGGGTTACTATTCAATGAGTTGCTTGCATGATCTTTGATTTCAATGATTAGCTAGGGATTATATTAGAGTCTTTGTCTCGTCTTGTGCACTTAACTAATGCTGATTGCTTTACCGCGCATCTAGTAATCCGATCTTAGGTTGATTTGAGCCTCGACAGTGTTGTATCATTCGCCGGACATATTCTTTGACAAGCTAGGTTTCTTAGACTGCGAAAGTTGATCTACTATAATCTAGTGAACTGTATCAGAACCTATTCATTCTAAAGCTTGATTTAATCACCTAGGGACATACCAAAAGTTTAGCGACTAGGTAGATTAACAAAGGAGCCGGAGCCTCGAAAGTGGAATGGTTTTATATTCGTGATCTGTGTTCTAGACGGTTCTTAATATCCCAACATCCCTAATCAATTCATCTATCATTGTTTCATTGATCATTGCTTGCTTCTCTGCGATTAGCCCCTGTTGACCTAGCGCTTTTCCTTATTGATTTACAACCTCGTTTACTTGCTAGTTCGGTTCACCATTACAACCTCAATCATACTTTTGTTTTAGCTTGATCCAAAATCCATAGTTTCAAAGTGTACTCAATAGCCAGTCCTTGTGTTCGATACCCATACTTCCGCGATCTGTGCACTTGCAGAGGTCTAGGAGTTTGGTAAAACCTGACTCAACATCAAGTTTTTGGCGCCGTTGCCGGGGACTGCAGCAGTACCTTTGGAACTCGACTAGGATCTAGTCTAGAACCTTTTCCTGTTTTCTTTGCTTTTGCTTTTGAATTTTTAGTTCTTTGATTTTTGCTTTTTGTTTTTTGATTTCTAGGATCTATGTCTTTTAACTCTAATCCCATATTTATGCAAGATCGAAATTTTCAATAAGTTTCTTGTTTGGTCTAAACTCTTGTCTAAACTTGAAATTGTCATACTTATTAGTCTTGTAATGAACTTAGCTAGGTGGAACCTAGGTGGTTTCACTACAAGAAAAGTATTTATTAGTGTCGTTTATTTTGTATCATTTGTTAAAAATGATGTTAACTTTAAAATTAATCAAATTAGAAAGCATCATTTGTTCAAAATAACACTAAAACAAATATAATTATATCATTTACTTACAAATGCCACTAATAATTAGTTTTTAGTATCATTAATCTATAAATGACACAAATAAACAGTTTTTAATATCACTTATATGCTAAAAATCAGTATTTTCATTATTTTTAAAATCATTAATAACAACAAATTGCCATTAAACAATAAAAGACAAAAAATCAGAAAAAACAATCGACTCTCTCTCTTAGCTTTGCGCTAGCTCGATTGCGATCTCCGATCAAATCATCAATGCGGAGGTTGTCGATTGTTTAGAAACTTAGTACTCAGGTATCGCCGAACTCAGTACTTGTGATTTTGAGATTTGAGATTTTGGTCTAATTGCATGCTGAGTGATTTTGGTCTCTATTTGTGGAATCGACCTCTATTTCGTGTTATACTTGCTCAAATTTCTCTTCCTTTTAGTTATTTTGTTGAATCGGAGTTGGGGAAGTCGCAATACGAGCCAGATGATGTTAATTTGTTTATGCGATTTCGATTTCGGGTGTATATGGAGAAAATTCAGTTGATTCGTCTTCCTATTGTAGTGTATTAACCTCTGAGAATTTAGGTTAACCGGTTCTCTTATCTCTTTACCATACGCCATTGATTTTGTTTTATCTTCATCTCCGTTTCTCTTTTCTGTATTTGTTTTATCTTCATCTCCGTTTATCTTTATCTTGTCAGACTTGTGGATTGCTATAGTTAGAAGGAATTATCTCTGAATTTTGTTTCACTGACGATCAGCTGATTACAAGAAACTTCCCTGTTTTGTGTCAAATCATGGGTTTGAAATTTCTGGATTTGAAAATGGTTTAGATCAAGCTGAGCTAGATAGCGTTTTGTTGTAGTGACGATGCAGAATCAAAATGATATGGTGAAGGATTGAGCTGAAGTCGCTGCATCCATTTCGGCACTCAAAGGTGAAGAATGGGGATGTTGTTCATTGGAAGATGAACCATCTTTTCAAGAAGATTCTGCGAAAGTTCCTTATGTTGGTGATAAGGTTAGAGAAAATCAAATTAAACTGAATGATCTTTTGTTTCCTACTTTCATATATATGGCTTTTGTTTGTTATTGGAACCCATATGAAAGAACTAGTGACTCAATTTGCACTATGTGGAGTCACAGAGCACATTTCGGACTCCTACCTCTTCCGGTTCCCAAATTAGGTCCAATTGATGTTCCTCCCTTGGATTGAGACCGTTTCACTCATGTTTGTCCTCATAGTCATGTGTAGAACCTATTAATCCATGTTTGGATAAGTATGTGTCCATCTAGTTCATCTTATACACTACAAGTGAGTTTTCACAATGTGGAGTCACAGAGGTACATTTCCGACTCCTAACCCAAGAACTAGTGACTTGCATTTTATTAGGAGTGGAGCTATTGTGTATGGCAACGCAAAAGCATTATCTATGAGTTGCTTGGAATGTGATGTGGCTTCATTTCATTTTTTTTTTAAATGTTTGATTTCTGTTGAATATCTTACCAAAGTAACAACCGTTTTACTCTTTAAAAACTCAAAACAATGGATGCTTTTGGCTCATCTCTGTGCAGGAACCTCTCCTTAGTTTATCTGCAGAATACCAAGCAGGGAGTCCCATTTTGATGGAGAAGATAAAGGTTGCTTTTTCTTTATCTCTCTGCTTCTTCTTTTTATGTTTTTGCGGTTGTTGCTTTCAGTCTTTTAAATTATCATGTTTTCTTCATACCTACAGATACTGGACAATCAATATATCGCAATCAGGTGATGGTCTTCTTCCGAAGTTTTATTTTCTCATACCTTGTATGTTCTCAGAAATTCTTCAACTATGTCTAGCTGGTGTATTTGCATGTATTGAATCGCTTACGCAGTTTATGGAAAAGGTTGCTCTTCTTTCGTTGTATGTATGCTCTCACTGCCCTGTTAATTGACTGTCATATTGTTTTGGTTGTCTAGGTCATTCACATTGCAGCTGCAACTGAGATGAATTCGAGGCTGATCCCTAGTTTGAAGACCTTGCATAGCACTTTGGACTTTAAGGTCTGACTTTTTCTGCTCTTTCTCAAGTAACACTTGATCTTTTCGCTAAACTGCAACACGCTCTATTAATATGAAACTTGCTCTGACTTAAATGGTGTAGTGAAGACCGCAGTTCGTTGTGGTACTATATATACTTGAGAATTGCTTTGTAGATACTCTTTAATCCTGCTTTTCTAGTCCTCTTCATGGTCTATCTGCTCTACATTCTCACATCTTTCAAACTTACCTAGACTTGCTTGGTTTCTGGCTATGCTACTCAGGTAAGTTGTTTGTTCAGAAAACTTGTTTTATCTAACACAATCTGGAATCATTTTTCAATTTTTGATCTCATGATTGCAGGTTAAGTATGGAGTTCATAAGGTGACATGCACTCTACCCCGCCTCTATCAGGTTCAGGAAATGATATTTTTGTTAGAATCTGATTTATTGTACTTGTAATATAAGGTTAGGTATGGAGTTCATATTTTGTTACCGTTGGTAACACTAGTACTATCTATTCAGGTTTGAAGTAAAGACAGCTCCTGCAGTAGCTGAGGAAACAACACATCAGCTAGCAAGAAATCTGTAAGCTTCTTGGTTTCCCTTTTGCTTTACAGTGAGTGTTTGGTTTCTTATAAATCAAGATCCAACTGTTGTGAAACATGAATAGATTACAGTAGTGATGAAGATATATTGGGGAGATCCTCGTGAGAAGATATGTGAAGCAGTTGAACATATTCCTCTCTCAAGCCTTGTCATCGGTAACCGAAGCCTCGGTGGCCATAAAAGGTAAAACATTTCTCCTCTTTCTCCAACTCTTGAATATCTCAAACTTTGTTTTGCTTTACACATATTGAAACATTTCTTTGTTTTGTTTGCAGGATGATAATGGGGTGCTTAATAGTCTTCTCAGCTCGGATTGCAACTGTAGAAGGTAAGTTGCATATATCTTGTTCTGTGTTGCCTTATTTAGCTCTTACTCTGTTTTAATGTTTTCAGGGCATAGAACGTGAAAGTGACAGGATAAGACAGGATTATATACATTTCATAAGGTAATTAACTTGTTCTGAGTTATTGATACGTGTAGTATTGGTATGAATCAAGTTGGTAGTCTTAGCTTCTTGATACGTTTGAGGTTTGAACTAAGTTTGAGGTTTGAGGTTTGAACTAAGTTTCACTTGATGGTTTGATGGTTTCTTATAAGATGTTTGATGTTTATGATGCAATTTGCCCTTTATTTTGGCAGGTATGAGATACCTGAAAAAGAGAATACAAGAAGAAGACACAAATACACATTTTTACATTTTACTACAAGTAAATTTGAGGTTGTATACATTTTACTACAAGTAAATTTTAGTTTGATTACTATATAAGGATATTTAAGCTTGAATATATATATATATATTTTTTTAATTTTAATCTCAATTTTAGTATCATTTATTTACAAGTGACACTAAAAATGACATTTAGTATCACTTAAAAAAATGATACTAATCTCAATTTTAGTATCACTTGTTCAAGTGATTTTAAATGTCATTTTAGTATCAATTTTTTAAGTGATACTAAATGTCATTTTTAGTGTCATTTGTAAATAAATGATACTAAAGTTTTATTTTAGTGTCATTTGTAAAAGTGATACTAAAAAAACTTAGTGTCATTGATTTTAGTGTCATTTTCTGAAATGATACAATAATTCTTGTATCATTTAAAAAATGATACTAAACTTAAAAAAAAGTGACACTAAAAAATATGTTTCTTGTAGTGTTTAGAGTTATTTAGAGTTTAATTTCACAATTGAATAGTTTTTCACAAAACTTATTGGGCATTCCAAACCCCTCATTCAAAAGTGAAATTGCTTAGTCATGCTTCAATTCATTAGTTTATCTAGTGATTACTTGGATTAGAAACTCAATTTCTCTTGATTTGCTAAAAATTTCGATTTTATGCACCATAATCTTGAGATGAACAGTAAAATCCGAAATTAATCTTGAAAAGTAAAATTTCCATTTTGTTTCTTTGATATGATAAGCCTTGAGTTGTTCCATTATACCATATCATTATTACAACTCAATTAGCTTATCTTTCTTATGCATTGAATCACAAACTCATGTCTCTTCCCAAGAATTTGCTCTTGTAGGTACCCAATGGCAAGGACAAAAGGAGGTGAAACCATGAAGAAGAAGAAAGATCCATCTATGCAACCACCAAGGAAACAAATCAAGCTAGGGAGTAGTAGCTGCAATGCAAGAGCAGCAATACCAACATCACCACATCTCATTGATGCAAATCAAGAACATGTGGAGAGTCCAAGAAGAGAAGAAGATTGGGCACTTGTAAGCTTTGTTGGAGGACAAATCCAAGACCCAAGAAAGTGCAAGAAGGCAATGGAGAAGGTGAACATAGAACCTTGTGTGAAGATGGACACCCCAGCCCTTGACCTTCTCAAGATAAGAGATGATGTCACATGGTGTCTAAGGAAGCTTGGCTTGAGCAAGCTATTCAAGATAGAGTGCAGCGAGTACTCAATGCTAACCAAGGAGTTCCTCTCCACAGTAGCTCTTGCCTTTCCCAACAACAATGGAGACCAACCAGCTGGTGATGGACTCCTATTCTTCAAGATACTTCAAGATAGGCGATGCCAATGGGCGCATCTTGATGTACTTGCATTTTACATAGTTTTAGTACATCTTTTATGCATCTTTTGCATAGTTTTAGCATCCATTAGCATCATATCTTGTTCCTTTTCTCCTCTTATGCATTCATAGTAGTTTTAGGTTGCATTTGCATACATATGCATAGTGTTTTAGTTTTAGTACATCTTTTATGCATCTTTTGCATAGTTTTAGCATCCATTAGCATCATATCTTGTTCCTTTTCTCTTCTTATGCATTCATAGTAGTTTTAGGTTGCATTTGCATACATATGCATGTTTGGTCCTTTGAAATAGGTCTTTTGGAGCATTCTGGAGCATATGGGACGTGAGGAGCATGGAGGGACTTGGCACATGGACGCAGCTCAACTGGATACGCAAAGGAAGAAGGAGAAGCCATCTTGAAGACCAGCTCGACCCGAGTTCCTCAACTCGACCGGCCAAGCTTCAACTCGATCGAGCTGAGAAGTCAACAGTCAAACCCGAAAAATGTTGCTTCCCCCTTGACTTTCCTTTGACCCTAAACCTAATCCTCTTGTATTTAAGGGCTAAAAGCCACGAAAAAACCACCAAGCTTTAGATTACTTTTTGTTTTAGTTTCTTTTAATTTATTGTCTTTTACTTTTTAGAGCTCTAATCCCATCTTTGTGTTCTTGAAGCTCTTGCTTCTTGAATCCTAGATCCTGGATAATCTCTTTTGTATTTGCACTTGCTTATTTCAATAAAAGTTGTTTATTTCATCTCCTCTTTCTTATGATGTCTCTTTTATTGCATTTGCTTGTGTTTACATTCATGTGTAGTGAGTAGTTACCCATTAGGGTTTGAGATGGGATAGATTAGAGGTTTCATATGCTTAATCCTTCTTGCTTATGTCTTAATCTAGAATCTCTCTCTTTTGGACAAATCTTAAGGCTACATGACCACTACCCCTGGCTTGTATGTCCATAGGCGATTCTCCACATGGAAGTGATGGAAATCGCTGGAAAAGGTCCACTAAGAGCTCCAATATCTCTTGCTCTAGAAATAGAGGTCTAAGGGGTTGGATGGATTAGTTTGAGCAATGATCCTATGGCCTCCAAGGCTTGATTCTCACTGGCTAACCCCCTGTTTCTGAGATCAGTCTTGGTTGATAGCTTTCACCTTGGGAAAGGGTTAGCTAGGCATTGAGAAGCTCAATATCAAGAGAACCTTGATACAAGTTTTAAGAGCAAGATCGATTAAGTATAGCCTTCCTCTGATTGTTAAACCCTGTCTTAGACCCTAATTTCTCTAGCTTGTTAAAGTCGCTGCCTTTATTGCTTTTTACTTCAACTCGACCCTAAACTCGATCGAGCTCGGTACTCTGTTCCACTCGACTCGAGTCCTTGGTCGAGCTGTTGCTCTACTGCTTTTTTTTTCTGCATTGCATTTCATTTTTTAGGTTGTTAGTGTTACCCAAATCTTTACTGCTTGCTTGACTTTCTTGTGTTTCATATTCTCATAGAGTGACAAGTTTCCCATTTTGGATTGATAACCCTTTACTACATTGACTATGATGGTTAAGGGAATTGATTGATTGTGTTTGCATCTTCATCTTTATTACCACTGTTTGCATTCCACCTCATATCTTATCATTTCATTCATATCACACACAAAATCCTATCATCAATTTGGCGCCGTTGCCGATTTGGGATATTTTGTTGCATTTGAGTTTCAAACACACTTGGACGATCAAGCTATACCACCCCTGTTCTATTGTACTGCTGGGTTTTTGTCTCTTTTTGCAGGTGTATGCGAACTCGATCGAGTCGGTCTACAGAGACTTGGTCGAGCTAGACTTTACAACGGGTAGAAAGAGGGTTCAGAGGTCACAGAGGGTACAAGAGGAACCTGAGGTGCTTGTTGCTGATACAATGGATGTACCAGAGGGGAATGGAAACCCTTTGGGCAATGGACTCGGTCGAGCTAGGCAAACTCGACCGATTGGTCAAGGAGATGCTCCAAACCGCCACCAACAGAGACAAGGGATTGTTCCACCACCAGTGCAGAACCACAACTTTGAGATCAAGCTGGGAATGATCAACCTTGTTCAGAACAAGATGTTCCATGGATTGCCAAGTGAAGACCCCATTGACCACCTTGATGAGTTTGATAGGCTTTGTGATTTGACAAAGATCAATGGTGTCTCTGAAGATGCCATCAAGCTGAGACTCTTTCCTATGTCTCTAGCTGACAAAGCTCACCAATGGGAGAAGAGCTTGCCCCATGGCACAATCACCACTTGGGATGAATGCAAGAAGGCCTTTCTTGCTAAGTTTTTCTCCACCGGTCGCACAGCCAAGCTTAAGGAGAGATCCAGCTTCATACAGCGAAACAATGAGACATTCAGAGGCTTGGGAGAGGTTCAAAGGGTACACAAGCCAAGTGCCCACACCATGGATTCAACAATGAATCATACTCTCCACTCTTTATAGAGGATGCTTGCCAAGGTATAGGGAGATGCTAGACACAGCAGCAATGGGAACTTCCTCAATCAGGATGTAGATGATGGCTGGCAAGCTTGTGGAGAACATGGCCTCTCAACAGAAGCTATGGAGACAATTATGATAGCACTGACTGGAGCTCGACCGCCACTCGATCGAGTCCGAGGCCCAGATGCGAAAAGACTTGCAGCTCTCCATTCGAAGATTGACAACTGATTGTAGCCAATTCCCTCCCAAGCAGTCAGCTCTATCTCTGATACAACACAGGCTATCAAACAGGAAGGGGAGGAGCAACAACAGACAAGCATCCAACCACAAGGAAAACCATCTATGGTCACACATTCTACCAGGCCTGTGGCTTACCAAATCACTCCACACAGATCCAACCAGCAAAGGCACCTTCCAAGTGTCCCACCAGGATTCCCACCAATGCCATACCCAACTACACAGAGCCAAGATTGGGATATGAAGGATATGCTCCAACAACTCCTTACAAGGGCAAGCCAAAGGTTCACTGGAAATGAACCACAAGTTGTAGAAATAAACTCCAAACTGAGTCATTGACTTCAAGAGTGCAAATCATTGAGTCTTCTAGTGCATCATCCTCTTCACTCAAGAGTATGCTCAAGCTGTTACACTGAGAAGTGGGCGACAATTTCCAAGCAGGGTAGCCCACCCCAAATCGCTGTGGACATCGATGACGAGGAAGGGGAGGATTTGGTCGAGTATGACGATATTCCGGCACCGAACTCGATCGAGCTGGAACAAAACCCTGAACCAGAACTCGATCGAGCTGAAGAAACCGAGACTCAGACAGACAAAGCAAGCTCCAGCCAACCAGCTAAACCTGTTGCAAAGAAGAAAGACACTCCAGCAGGACCACCACCATACAAACCCCCTACCCTTTCCAGGAAGGTTCAAGAAACAACTGTTGGAAGCACACAAGGCCAAGTTTGATGAACTAATGAGACACTTGAGCTGAAGTTGCCTTTCATCGACGCCTTGATGCTCATTCCACCTTATCAGAAATTCCTGAAGGATGCTGTTCAGCAAAGAACCAGGGAAGCACAAGGGATGGTAGTGTTGACTCGTGAGTGCAGTGCAATCATTCAGCGGAAGGTCATCTCCGACAAAAAGGAAGATCCGGGGAGTTTCACTTTACCCTGCATGTTGGGACCCCTATCTTTCAAAAACAGCCTCTGCGATCTAGGATCATCTGTCAGCCTCATGCCTTTGTCTGTAGCAAAGAGACTGGGATATCACAAGTATCAAGCCTGCGGAATCTCACTAGTCTTGGCAGATAGATCGATAAGGTTACCAACTGGAATGCTTGAAGACCTGCCTTTGAGATAGGGAATGTAGAAATCCCCACCGACTTCATTGTGCTGGAGATGGATGAGGAACCAACAGATCCATTGATACTAGGAAGGCCATTCCTAGCTACAGCAAGAGCAATGATAGATGTCTGTGAAGGAACAATTGAGCTAAACTTGGGAAAGGACCTAAGGATGAAGTTTGACATCAAGGATACAATGAGGAAACCAACAATAGAAGGTCAGCTCTTTTATGTTGAGGAAATGGATCAGTTGGCAGATGAGCTTTTAGAAGAGTTATCAACGGAGGATCCCCTACAAGTTGCTTTGACCAAGGATTCTTCAGAAGGATATGTGAGCTCAGAAACCGATGAGTACAAGAAGCTCCTTGACACCTTCAGACCAGTTCCAAACATTCTGAGCATTGAGGGGTTGGACAGGCCAGTTTGCGAGGTCATGGCAGTGAGCTCGATCAAGAACTCGATCGAGTCGGGTTTCGAACAAACGAACTCGATCGAGCTGGGGACTGAATGCAAGGAACAAGCTCAAGGAGATTGGTCTGAGCTCAAGGCACCTAAAGTCGACCTCAAACCTTTGCCTGAGGGCCTCAGGTATGCATTTCTGGGTGAAAACTCAACTTACCCTGTCATTGTGAACTCTGATTTGGAACCTGAACAGTTGAGTGCTTTGCTTGTTGAATTGAGGAAGTACAGAAAAGCAATAGGTTACACTCTAGATGATATCAAGGGGATCTCCCCTGACCTATGCATCCATAGGATTCATCTAGAGGATGAAAGTAAGTCAAGCATTGAACCTCAGAGGAGATTGAACCCCAATCTAAAGGAAGTAGTGAAGAAAGAGATACTCAAGTTGCTTGATGCTGGGATAATCTATCCCATCAGTGATAGCACTTGGATATCTCCAGTTCATTGCGTCCCAAAGAAAGGGGGGATCACTGTCATTAAAAATGACAAAGAGGAGCTGATTCCCACTAGAACAATAGTGGGGCATCGCATGTGTATTGACTATAGGAAGTTAAATTCAGCATCTAGAAAGGATCATTTCCCTCTCCCTTTCATTGATCAGATGTTAGAAAGATTAGCAAACCATCCTTTTTATTGTTTTCTTGATGGTTACAGTGGTTTCTTCCAAATCCCGATCCACCCTAATGATCAGGAGAAGACCACTTTCACATGCCCTTATGGTACCTTTGCTTATCGAAGGATGCCATTTGGGCTGTGCAATGCCCCAGCTACTTTCCAGAGATGCATGACCTCCATTTTTTCAGATCTGATAGAGGAGATGGTAGAAGTCTTCATGGACGATTTCTCAGTCTATGGAGCATCCTTCTCCTCATGTTTGTCTAACTTGTGCAGGGTGTTGCAGAGGTGTGAGGAGACAAATCTAGTACTCAACTGGGAGAAGTGCCACTTCATGGTTCGAGAAGGGATTGTGCTTGGACACAAGATTTCCGAGAAAGGGATCGAGCTCGATCGAGCTAAGGTGGATGTCATGTTGCAGCTTCCTGTTCCCAAGACTGTGAAGGACATCAGGAGTTTTCTGGGTCATGCAGGGTTCTACAGAAGATTCATCAAGGATTTCTCAAAGATAGCAAGACCCTTGACAAGACTTCTGTGCAAAGAGACAGATTTTGAGTTTGATGAAGAATGCCACAAGTCTTGGACCTTGCTGAAGGATGCTCTGGTATCTGCCCCAATAGTTCAAGCTCCAAACTGGGATCACCCATTTGAGATTATGTGTGATGCATCTGACTATGCAGTAGGAGCAGTGCTTGGCCAAAAGATAGACAAGAAACTCAATGTCATCTACTATGCAAGCAAGACTATGGATGATGCTCAGTGCAAGTATGCAACCACAGAGAAGGAACTCCTTGCCATAGTCTTTGCCTTTGAGAAATTTCGAAGCTATATAGTTGGGTCCAAGGTGATTGTGCACACTGACCATGCTGCCCTTAGGCACATCTTCGCTAAGAAAGATACAAAGCCAAGACTTCTCAGATGGATCCTTTTGCTTCAAGAGTTTGACATAGAAGTTGTGGACAAAAAGGGAGTAGAAAATGGAGTTGCTGATCATCTCTCTAGGATGCGAGTTGAAGACATGATCCCCATCAATGATTCTATGCCTGAAGAACAGCTTATGGCAATCATGATCTTGAAGGAGAGTTTTGATGAGAAAGTCAGGCTGGAAGAAGTTAAGGCTCTGCGTGATGAGAATTTGCCATGGTATGCTGATATAGTGAACTTCATGGTGTCCGGAGAAGTCCCTAGTAGTTTTGATGCTTACAAGAGGAAGAAATTCTTCAAGGATGCTAGGCATTACTATTGGGATGAGCCTTACTTGTACAAGAGAGGACCAGACAGCATTTACAGGAGATGCATAGCTGAAGAGGATGTACAAGGAGTTCTAGAGCATTGCCATGGGTCAGCTTATGGAGGTCACTTTGCTACATTCAAAACAGCAACCAAGGTTCTGCAATCTGGGTTGTGGTGGCCTACCTTGTTTAAAGATGCAGCAAGCTTCATCGCAAAGTGTGATCCATGCCAAAGGAAAGGAAGTATCACCAAGAGAGATGAAATGCCACTGAACCCGATTCTGGAAGTTGAGATCTTTGATGTAGTCAAGCACAAGGTCGCTACACCTTACCATCCTCAAACCAGTGGGCAAGTTGAGGTCTCCAATAGGCAGATAAAGGCCATTCTTGAGAAGACAGTAAGCTTTACTAGGAAGGATTGGTCGACAAGACTTGATGAAGCTCTTTGGGCCTATAGAACAGCTTACAAGACCCCCATTGGAAGGTCCCCTTTCAACTTTCTGTATGGAAAGGATTGTCACTTACCTGTACAGGTAGAGTACAAGGCACTATGGGCAGTGAAGATGCTGAACTTTGATATAAAGGCTGCACAAGAGAGAAGAGTAATGAACTTGTTTGAGTTGGAAGAAATCAGAATGAATGCCTATGAGAACTCCCTGATCTATAAGTTAAGAACAAAGGCAGCCCATGACAAACTGATCCGCCTTAAGGACTTCAAGGCTGGGGACAGTGTGCTCTTGTATAACTCCAAGCTAAGGTTGTTTCCCGGGAAGCTAAGGTCAAAGTGGGCGGGACCATTCAAGATCCACGAAGTTTTCCCTATGGATCCCTCACTCTACTCAATCAAGAGGGGAAGGAGTTCACAGTGAATGGGCATAGATGCAAGCCATATCTAGGAATGACCCCCACAGAGGAGATCATCACTCCTCTACAAGATCCAACCCCGGCCTAAAAGGGGTAAGGTCAAGCTATGAGACCTAAAACAAGCTCACTTGGGAGGAATTCCCATGTCTATCTTATATTTATGCTTTACCCTTTTATTTCTATGATTTCTTGGCTAAGTCTTACAGGAGCAGGTTTTAGGAAGAAGAGTGGCTAACTCGAGCACAACTCGATCGAGTCAAGAGCAAGCTCGATCGAGCGAGGAACCCAGTCGAGTGGAGTGTCCTGATGGCCGTCTACCATCTCCAGACCACGACCTTGCCTCCCAGTTCTTTGGGGGGCACTGAGGTATCAAACACCAACCCTTGTACATACCATTTCATATTTTCTTTGCTTTGTTTTTTTCTTGGTTTTGCCCTCTTGAATCTTTCACTAAATTTCTCACACAAGGGACTGTGTGATTTAAGTTTGGGGGAGGGTTCAAGAGATGATTTAACCTTGTTTTCTTTGTTCTTAGTTTTTCATTCATCTTTTGCATAGAAAAACCAAAAAAATCATAAAATTTTCAAAAAATCCAAAAATATTTTCATCTTTTTGCATTCATATTTGTTAGACTTGTTTAGGATTGCATTTTTCACTTGCATTGTTGATTTGACTTTGAAAACTTGTCCATCTTTTGCGATTTCTTGAGTGCCCTGTTTTTAGATTCTTTTGTGCATTAGGGTGAGATTGATTGAGCAGCAAGAACCATGTTTATCTTGATCATATCACTGCATGCACATCTCATTCAACCATTGCTGTGATTTGATGCATTTCCCTATCTATTTGAACCATAACTTGATCTTTAATTACCAATGCTTGCATTTGATTTCAACTCATGGCTACCACATACATATCTGGACATTCTTTACCATTTTCATATCCCTTTGCTTGTCCAGATAGCTGATCTCTATCTTTGAGACAGTTACCACACCTTAAACCTAAGCCTTTTCATTTCAAACCCCTTATTATCTCTTGTGCGAATGTGAGAACCTTTCTTGGCTTTGCTTAGCATAAGGTGTTGTGTTTAAACCGGCAGGGGCAGTAGTTCTAGTTGTCTAGTTCTCTTGGGATTGTTTTCAGGCTAAGTTTGGGGGTGCCAACTCGAGCTCGATCGAGTTGGGTGTAAAAACCAGAAAAGTGGTAAAAGTTGGGAAAATCCAAAGGAAAAAGAGTTTAGTTAAGTCCAGGGAGTTGGCAGTGTTAAAAAGGGTCTAGTAAAGGTTTGGGAAGTTAAAAAAGGAAGTAAAAAGGGTTCTAAGTAGAAAGAAAAGAAGGCAAAGCCTCAAGTGTCAAAAAGAAAGAAAAGTTCCCTAAGTGTTTAGAAAATCCCAAACCGCTAGATGTTACCTCAAGAAGCCTCTCCCTAGGAAGTTCTTAAAAGAAAAGTGAGCAAAGCTCCTCAGTTTCAAAGGCGAAATGCCAAAAAGGGTAGTTAGGATTTTGTTCTAAAAAGCTCTAAGTGTTGAACTCGATCGAGTTAGGATTAGGCGGCTCGAGCTGCTGTTCTTGCATCATCTTTGGTTCTAACACTTAGCCTTCTGCCAAAGCAAAGCCACTTTCTTGAGAGATCCCTGTTACTAAACCACCATACAAAAGAGACCCTCTTTGTCTCTTAACCCATAAACCCTTGAAACCAAATGAGTTGATTGATCTTGCATGTTTTTGGTTCACTGTTTTTGCTTAATGAATGTTAAAGGGATTTGCTGATTTGAATGCATTGTTTGAGTGACTGTGAAGTGGGATTGATGTTGATAAGCATGGTTAAATCTTAATGAATATCTCTCACCTTGTTGCATTCTAGAATCTCTAAGTTGGACATTTAGCAAATCGCTTTTGAGGACATGTTTTTAAGTGTTGAATCAACTTGTTTTCAAACCTCATCTCTTTCTTGTTCTATTTGTTTGCTTGAGGGCAAGCAAAGTCAAGTTTGGGGGTGTTGATGTACTTGCATTTTACATAGTTTTAGTACATCTTTTATGCATCTTTTGCATAGTTTTAGCATCCATTAGCATCATATCTTGTTCCTTTTCTCTTCTTATGCATTCATAGTAGTTTTAGGTTGCATTTGCATACATATGCATGTTTGGTCCTTTGAAATAGGTCTTTTGGAGCATTTGGAGCATATGGGACAGAGGAGCATGGAGGACTTGGCACATGGACGCAGCTCAACTGGATACGCAAAGGAAGAAGGAGGAAGCCATCTTGAAGACCAGCTCGACCATCCACTGATCGCGGGATCAGGTCTTCCCCTTTCCTATCCCTGATTCTGCAAGTGCACAGGTCAGAAGTAGTAAACGGGTATCGAACACAAGGACCAGATTGCACACTACAAGTTATGAGTTTGAGAACAAGCTAGGGCAAAAGTATAAGTTGGTTGAGTGCAGAGAAAGTAAAGCATGCAAGTAATAAAGAAAGTGAGATTCAATAGGAGAGAAAGGCTAAGCAATAGGATAGTCTTGAGATAAGCAATTCAAGAAGCATGAAATCAATCAATTAGGGTTACCGCACTTAGGTGCTAATCTAGAACTTGAAACACTATGGTATGATCATTCCACTGTCGAGGCTCCGACCCCTTTGTTAATCTACCTAGTCGCTAAACTTTTGGTATGTCCCTAGGTGATTAAATCAAGCATTAGTTCGATCAAGATCAATTGTTCACAACCTACAAGTAGATCAACTGTCGCAGTCTAAAAGAGATTGCCCACCAAATACTAGTTCAGGCGAATGATACAGCACTGTCGAGGCTCAAATCAACCTAAAGGCATATGCTAATTGGCCAGATTAACAACAAGCATTAAGTATAAGCAAAGATGGAGATTATAAGTAAAACCCTAATTGTGATCAATCATCAAGCATACATGAATGCTATCCTTTGACTTCCTATCACTTAACAAGTAAACTACTCAGACATAGAGAAGGAAATCGAATTCATATTCATAAGAACAGAGATTCGAATCCTCTCTAGAAAGAGTAACAAGCAAGAACAAAGTAAAAGCAAGCAAAACTTTATTAAGATGTAAAATAGATTGTGGTCTCTCTCCTTCTTGAGTTACAAGGCTAAAAAGAAGTATTTATAATGCTCTAAGTATAAGAAGCGGCTAAACCTAATCTAGCTAGGTCGGCGCCGGCTTTGGGCTTGAATTGTGCGGATTGGGCTTCAAAAACGGCTTCGGGTCGACCGCGGCGTTCGGACGGTCGGTCGGGACGGTCGGCCGGACAGTCGGGTCTTTGGCCGAGTCGGAACGGTCGGGCCGGATGTTTCATGGTCGGCCGGCGTGGTCGGCGGATGAGATTTGGCCGATGGTTTCTCGGCCGGACGTGGGACGTTCTTCCCGGCTCGGACGGATGCATCGGCCGTGGTACGCGAAGGTTGCGCGGCCGCGAGGCTTGTTTCCCGGCTCGCGCGGCTGGTCGTGCGCGGCGTGGCGTGACGTTTGGCTTGGCCGACCGCGGGACAATGTTTCCCGGGTCGTGTGCGTGATCGGCCGACGGTTGGACTTTGGCCGAGACTTCAGTCGGACGGAACGTTTTGGCCGAGCGCGGAACATCGTTCCTCGGCCAGCCGGACTGCGCGTTCGGCGCTGATTCTCGATATAGCCGTCTGGAGCAGCCTTCACTCTTTTGGCTATAACTCCTTTTCTACTCATCCAAATGAGCCGTTCCAGTTGCGTTGGAAAGTTAACTCAATCAGAGCACGCAGGGAACTGGTCTTGATGAAATCCATTGAGTAGATCTTTTTCTAGCTCCATCCAAAGTTGATGCAGGGCATTGAACTGGTTTAGAGTCCAAATCTCCTGTTTTGCTCCATAATGCACCTTTTTACCTAAAATGACTCTTTGCACTATAAATCCATAAAAACTACCTTTTAACACAAGAATCCACTAGAAAACCATTAGAAAACCATAGTAAAATAGCATAAAAAGTAGGTAAAATAGAGGTATATCAACTCCCCCAGACTTAGATCTTTGCTTGTCCCCAAGCAAAAAGAATCTAAACTAGTGAAGAGGTTTTGAAAAACGTGGGAACTCTCTTGCTTCTTTGAAAATCCTGTGAAAGGTTCCTTTCCTGTATTCCACTAAGAACATAGTCAACATAAGGTTAGCTTCACATACACCCTGCAAGTTTAGCAACATACCAACCCAACTAGTCTCATCCAGCAATCCAAACTCTCTATTGTTAACCTCTTGCAGAAATTTAAAGCGTGAGTTCTTTATCAAGGGAAAATCGATCAATTGAACTTGTTCTTACCCACTTGATCTTCTCCAAGATTGTCTTTGAAGTGCAATGAGTTCCTTTCCTCTCTCTTTCTCACATCAGAACTTTGAAAGGTCAATTTCTCCCTACTTTTCTAGGGTATCATTTTATTTTTTCTATTGACCTTTCTTTCAACCACAGGATAAGTCTTTAGCTTGTTCCTTGTTTGATAAGGTATTCCATAAGACATGAAGGTACAGACATATGCATTCCTCATGCTTACTTGTTTTCCTTGTGCTCTTTGAGCTTTTCTCATAAACATTACTTACCATTTGGGATGGGAGAGAGAGGTGAACTCTTTAGACAAATCTCATTGAAAATCAAGCAAGGAACTGTCGACATGTATGCCAATCCCCTTGACAAGAGTTATTAAGATTGATTAAGGGTGAGGTTAACTCTAGATTGCTTGGTTACCTTAGAAATTTCGCTGAGCTAGCATGCGATCCACTCTAGGAGCTTCTGTTAGGCTTGTGCCTTCAGCTGATGTTTGCTCTAGGGTCATAGATTGTTAGCATGACACTATCAAATCTCAAAGCAAGTTCATTGTTCCCGGACTGGTTTTGACTCAATAAAACAGAAGTTTTGAAAAAGTGGGTTAGGAAAAACCAATTATAAGATCAAAACAACCATGAACAAACACATTAGTACCGACAATCCCCCCAGACTTAACTTGCACCGTCCCGGTGAAAGAAAATCCAATTAAGGGAGTTAAAGAAAGAGGTAATAAAGTGGTTGTGAATGTAAAAAGAAAGATGTAACCTGATTTGGTGTTACTTGAAGAATGGTGAATGCAGTGGAATGATGGTAGTGATGGAATGCAAGTGTGGTGAGGTGGGATGGGTGAGATGCAGATGGAATGAGATGGGATGGTGTGTTGGGCGGCTTGAGAGGACATGGGCGAGCGTGGAGAGGTTCTGCTCGGCCATCTAAGTCGCGCCAACTATGAACATTCTTCTTGTGGTATATCTTCTTTACCATTGTGTGGTTCTTAGATTCCTGTTTCCAAAACTCAAAACAAAACTAGACATTAACTAAAACTAATTGAAAAGAAAAGTAAAGAAAAACACCTTTCATGGGTTGCCTCCCATGCAGCGCTTCTTTTGAGTCATTAGCTTGACTGATAGGATCTCTTAGTTGGAGATGGGGTAAGGGCACGGCCTGAGACATAGTCTTTTAGTTCTTGTCTCATTGTGACCTTGAGTGTGGTCTGGTGGCTCTCTTGGGCGGCCTTGGGCAGTGATGAGGTAAGACAGCTTGTTTGGTGTGATGAATGGTATGGTCTTGTAAAAGACTGTCTTGTCACATTGGCTAAGGACATTCGCCGGTTTGGAAGGTCCATGACAGCTCCAGCAGTGGCCAAAAAGGGTCGGCCTAGTATCAATGGTGTGTCACATCCTCCTTGAATGTTTATGACATGAAAGTCCACCGGGATCTTGATATCTCCAATCTCTAGAAGAACATCAATAACAACTCCTCTTGGCTTGGCTATAGTATGGTTAGCAAGTCCAATACTAATTTGAGCAGGTTGCAAGCGTGTGATGCCAAGGAGTTTGGCGGTTTGGGTTGGCATGAGGTTTATGCAAGAGCCAGAATCGCATAGTGTTCTATCAAAGTAATGACCATTTACTTGACAGGGAATAGAGAATTGACCTGGGTCTTCAATCTTGTAGAGGGTCTTGAAGGTAGGCTGAACTTTAGCTTTCTCAAAAAGCTCTTTATGTCCTCAGGTGTCTCCTTGCAGTTGTGGAAGAAGGTGGTGAATGGGTAGTGGCGCCAAGCTTGTTTGAAAGACATGCTGGCTGGAAGAGTTTGGACAAACTGATTGAACTCAGCAAGCTTCTCTCTTGATATGGAATTGACATACCACTGAGGTGGTGGTGATGATGGTGGTGATGGTGGTTGATTGACTGCATGAGGGGCAAGGGGAAATCGAGCCTTCCTGAAAAGTTGGTGTATCTCTTCTTTGTTTTCACTAGTTGTGAAAAAGAACTCCACTAGACCATGCTTATCCCAAGCTTCTTCAAAAGTGACATAGAATGGAAGTGATTTCACCTTAGCATTGAACTCTTTAAGCTTCATGGGGCTTATCTTGTTGGGATCAATGGGATCATACTGCCAAGTATCTTCTTCTTCAGTAGGTGGTGATGGTCTTTGCATTGCTTCCAATCTTGGAAGTGTAGAAGCTTGACTTCTTGGTGAGAAACGAGGGTCTCTAGGGCTTGGTGTATCCATGCTCTGTTTTGGGGAAGCATTGATGTCGATGCTCTGCTCTTCATCTTCATCATTCAATTGTTCCTCATACTCTCTTTCTTCTTCTTCATTGTCCTCATGGACTTGAGTAGTGCTTCTTCTTGTGATGGCATTGCAATAAAAGGGAGGGTGGTTGGGTGTTGGCTCCTCTCTCTCTTGTAATTGGCATGAGATGATCCTTCAAGGGCTTGTAGGCGGTTGTAGATCGATCCAAGATGCTTGCTATTGCCATAGCTAGTATCTTCAATTCTCATGCTCTTGTTCAGCAACTCTTGATATTTGGAAGCAACATCAAGCTTAACTAGGGTTCAAAGATCGATCATGATCCTCTCTTAACTTCTTAATGTCTTCATCAAGCTTGATCACTTGCTTGAATAGGACTTCAGATTTGTTTCCAAGGCTCTCATGGATGAAATCGATTCTTCTCTCCATCTTCTTTGTACTCTCATCTTGATTTCTCAAGTACTCTTGAAGCATATCTTCAATCTTGGTTAGGCGCGCAGCTTGATAGCTCTCCCTTGGGAAAAAGTGGTGTCTTGTTTATGTCTGGTGATGATGGATGGTGTTGTGAATAGCTTGGGCGTGGTGGTGGAACATAAACAGGACCCTTAGCAAATCTGTGAGGAAAGCTCCTTTGTATCCATTCCAAGTCTTGAAAGCATGTTGGGCATTGAACTTAGCCCAGTCTTTGGCTTGTCCAGCTAGAGATAGTTGGAAAAGTTGTATCTTCTTGGGGTTGTCTCCAAGTCCATAGTCATGGCAAAGCTGCTCAAAGTTGCATAGATGCTCCTTTGCACATTCTGAAGTAGAATTGTAGAAAGGATTCTCTCCACATGCTTGATTAGCTCTTCATTCAGACTTCAGGATGAGGTGGTATGCCTCCCCATTCTTCTTCATCACGCTCTCTCTCCAGCTGATGAGAGTAGTGGTAGTACTTGGATTTGAAAGGTGGTCTTGCAAATCTTTCCAAGAAAGCTTCTCTAAAATCGATCCATGACTCGATTGTAGAGAGTGGCTCATGCTGCGCCCAATCTAGTGCTGGTCCAGCTAGTGATGTGCTGAATAGCATCATCTTCTTCTCAAAGTCAAAAACTCCATAGGAATCACAAAGATTATCAAAGTGATCTATGTGCTCCAGCATACTCTGAAAACAGATCATGGAATTGATCTCTCTTCACGAACTCGATCAGCTCAGGGTTAATCTCCTCTTCTGGTGTGGCTAGAAGGTTCTTCTTGGTGTGATGCGGCTTGGCTAGACGTCTCCAGGTCGGCTGCTTCAAGGTAGGGAAGAAGTTTCTTCTTGGTCTTCAAAGAGGATAGTCTTGGAGGACTATCCCATGAAGGTGGTGGTGCTTGAGGGCTTGACATCTCTTGTTCGCTCAAGAGGTCTTTGAGGTGGTATGTGGCGAATTGGCATCGCCTTTATAGGAAGAGGCTTGTGGCTCCTTCTCCATATCTAACTAGGAAAACCTGAAAAGCTCAAAAACAAAAAGGAAAAACCAAATCAAAGAAAAAAGGAAAAATAACAAAAAGCAAAAAGGAAAAAGATGAAACCCTAGACTAGCTCTCTTGCAGAAGCTTGTAGGTGCGAATTGGTCCCCGGCAACGGCGCCAAAAACTTGATCGCGGGATCAGGTCTTCCCCTTTCCTATCCCTGATTCTGCAAGTGCACAGGTCAGAAGTAGTAAACGGGTATCGAACACAAGGACCAGATTGCACACTACAAGTTATGAGTTGAGAACAAGCTAGGGCAAAAGTATAAGT